AGAAGGGTAAGATTTGACCTCACTGGAAGCTAGAGTCCCCTGGAGAAGACCTCTGTGAAATGTGCACAGTCCACGCCCATATCCCCATGCATTCAGCCTTATGTAACGGGGGTGTCCCTGGGAACATTCTCTTTATGAAAATATATTTGATAAGGCAAGTTATATTTTGAACAAATGAAGCTCATCTGCACTTTAAGGTGGCTGGCCATCTCAGAAAGTTCCTGCATAGTTTGAAAAGAAAGAGAATATTTTCTAATCCAATAGCTCTCTACTGTTCACATTCCTAGCTAAGTACCAGAGCAACTAGACAAAGAGGGGAGACTTTGACCAAGAGGAACAAATGGGATCAGCGCCCAGCAGTCATGCTGCTCACCACCCTTCAGAACGGAAGCACTCAGTCCAGCAGCTGCTGGCAGTGTTGATTGTTGGGTATTGCTAGCTCACAGCTGAGCCCTCATACCAGTGACTGCCTAAGCTGAAGACAGCTGCCTAACCCAAGGCCACACCCCAATTCCCTGGGGCTGCCTGGGAAATAGCATTTCTCATCAGTACACAACAGTATAAAAACCTGGCCCTTTGCCTCAACCGCAGATAACTCTGCAAGGCCAGACCAGCTCCAGAGCCTCACCATGGGGTTGGCTGCAGCGTCTGTTGTGGCTGCATCACAGGCCAGCTTATCCCTCTGCTGATCCTGCTTCCCTTACTCCCCCATAAATATACTGCACCCCAATCTCCATCTGAGAGTCTGCTTCACAGAAGCCTGACCTGTCATACATCTTCCTTTCTCTTAATCCTGAGGCAGCAGAAGCTAAAATCTCCACTTCTTTTTCTTTAATTGTTAAGAGCAACCGTCCTGGTCAGGACTCCAGTGGTAGAATCCAACATTGAGGAAGATGGAACATGGCAGTTTGTGAATACTGATCTACATGTACATATGATTTTGGAGATTGGGAACAGACTTTTGAGACGAAGTCATACAAAGAATAGGTGATTTGGCAGAAGAAATAGCATATAGAGGAACTGATGTTGCACAATAAATTAAGAGGAAATTCTACCGCGTGCACAAGCACTTCAACCAGGAAAAAATTAAGCTCTGTCTGACTCCCTCCTGAGGGATCATGTTCTCAAGCCAGGCAGTACCTGCTGCAATCTGATCAAGCATACCTTCCATCCCTTTTGAGCAAAACAGCGATGACTTTACTGATAGTGTATTTTCTGCATGAATTCTCTACCCTAAATTTCAGGGCTTTTGTGTTCATGGTTCAATCAGCTTACTATGCCATGAATTCCACACACCCCCCACCCCCACATAGAGAAAGTAAATTATTCAGTTACAAAATCTGAATAAGTCTGCATAAAGCTAGCTATATCCTAAATCATAGTCAAATCATCATAAGCAACTCCCATAGTCAATAGCATTTCTCAGGATCTAATGTTCATGGACAACCAAATCATCCCCACTGTGGGCAACACAACTAAATTCAAAGACAGTCATTGTGCACAGCAAGTTACCATTGGATGATGTTGTCTGACCTTCTGAGTTTCCATATTTTTAACTGTAAGTTGGCAAGTGTGAAAAAAAAACTGGAAAAAAAAAAAAAGCCATGCTAGCTTCTAACAATCAGGTCAATTCTAATTTGATTGTAAAAATATTAGGTACAAATTATGACACATAATCTGGAGACAGCTCTGGGATGGAAGTCTGATTTTGCCCTCAAATTTCAGGGTTATGCATATTTTTCCAGGTAGCCTGAGGAATTCAACTGAATGGAATTTTCAGAGCAAACCCAATAAGTGCTTGTCCAAGAAACAGCGACATCCACAGTCCCTCCAGTTTTTCTACATAGAGACATGTGGATGTCCCCTGAAAATATACACAGTGATACCATTAAAGAGGCAGGGATGGGAAAGGAGTATAATGAATGATTTCCGTAAATCAGACTCACTACCAACATTGTCTTCTCTCTAAATGTGAATTTATGATTTCTGGTTAGCCTAATGCAATATATATTTACAGAGTGACTGCCTGTTGAATAATAGTTTTAATGGTTAGTTTTGAATGACTGGACTCTCCCAGAGAGTGCTGAACACAGAACAAGTTTGCATGTCAATGAAAATGCAGGACAAGAGGGCACAGAAGGACTAGTTAGGAGAAGCGCTTAGAATTAGCATCACTCAGGGTGCCGGCAGGAAACAGAAGTGCGCTACATGAGGATGATCCAAGGAAGGACTATTTATGGGAGCCGACAGGACACAGGAAACCATAAGGGGTAGTGCGGAACCCCTGGGCAAGGAATAGTGGAGCTGCTACCACTCCTAGAGCTGAAGGAGAGAGGGGAAGGAGCAATTACTGGAACCCAAAATGAGAAGTGCTGAGGAGAAGCATAATGTAAGAGAAGTGACTTTTAGTCCAGAGAAACAGCCAGTCTGAGGTGACCCCATAGGGAGAAGACAGGGAGTAATACCCCAATCTCCATCTCCTTCCTCTCCCTAATCTACTCTCTCCCTCTCTCATTGGCCAAGACCAAATGAAGCCCCCTTATGTGGTCCAAGGAGGTCAGCCTACTGGCTAGAGAGCAGGTAGAATAAGAAATCCTGAAGGGGCAAAGGAGGATACACCCCATTCCAAAAAATGGAAGATACCCACGATACAATGCATCAAGACTTGAGCGTGAGCATCTTTTTTTTTTTCCCCTTTCATTCTAACCTCTGTTAAAAATTTTAAAAGCATGGGATAAAATAAATTGAGAAAATCTTCGTGGAAGTAAGTCTTAAGCTACATTTTAAGAAAGAAGGGGGCATGGCTAGAGGATATTCAAGAAAATCATAGGAAGAGATTATTGATGGAAGAGATTATTGGTGTTGCTATCATCTTCATCTGCCCTATCAAATACAGCACAAATACATCACCTGCTATATCAAACAGAGTAAAAACTATGTGCTATCATCTTCCACGTGGGTTTTGCTGTATTTGAAAGCAAGCACCCCAATGACAGTGAGGCCAAAAAGAAGAGATGAGGTAGATCCACATTTCAGGGAGTTGCTTTTCCTGAGCTCTAATAATGCTGTGTCCAGAACCATGGCTATCTGAAAGCAATCTGTTGATCTTCTAGAGAACAGAGGATGGGAAAATGCTGCTTCACCGCTTGTAGGACCAATCATTTTCCTAAAGTCCTGGCTCTAGAATCACATGGATCTAGCTGGGTCTGCATCCTGGCCCTGCCACCTAATATCTGGGTGATCTTGGGTCAAATTCTATAATCTCGCTAAGCCTTAATGTCCTTATTTGATCATTGGCGATACGCTATCTCCTCCTAGTGTTGTAGTGAGAATGAAAGAAAATAACGTATCTGTATTAGGAAAAGTTCTTTCACTGCAAATATGATTCTGATTTACATCTGATTCTGGCTAGGAAGGAAGGAGGGAAGAAGAAAAAGAAAGAGAAAAAGAAATAAAGTATTGAAATAGTGGGGTACCTCGGTGTTCAAGGAAGAAGGGAAGAAAGAGTGGGTTAAAACACTCATATCACATACGGACCTCCCCATAGTTCTTATGGTTTCGAGCTTGGTAAATCTCTGACAGAGGAAGAACTAGTACCATTCCGGGATCCCAGCAGCAGCAGTGGTGCCCATTCTTTCTGGAACATGTGGATATGCGGCTCAGTTTCAACGGTTACAGTCCCTGGCCTCTTCATTGCCCATGTAAATTCCAGGGAGAGAGAATTTCATTGGGTCAGCTTGGATCAAGTCAATCAGCTGGGTAAACCAACCATGGGACGAGGAGAGGCCCCAACAGTCATGCAGGGCACATGACACTGCAAGTCCACCTTTGTGTATCTAGAGGGAGGTCCTGGGGAAGGAGGAATCTGGATGAACCGTGCAGTGTCCTCTATATATAGAAAAGCCATAGTATATGGGGTCCATCACATAGAAGTCCTCATGAGGTATTAGCTATTATTATTTCAATGATTATGATAGAGGTAGCATTTAGAAATTTAAATTTCTCTTCCCTGTAGATCTGTGGCACACCATTAGCTGTTACTGTTAATATCTATAATTTTAAAATTTTGGATGTATCCTATATCTCTTATTAGATTATAAATCCACGGAGAGAAGAGACCATTATATTTCCCACTTTCTCTCTATATCCTTATTATTTAATGCTTTAAAAACAGTAGATGCCCAAATAAATGTGACCTACTCCCTAAAGCTCACTAACCTATATTGATATTAGAACTACTGTAAGCAAAATATGCCCCCATTTGCCTTTCTTTAAAACCTAAGACATAAAAGCAATGTCCACTCAATGAACTGGAAGTTTAGAGTACAATACTTAAAGAAAACTCGAAGAAAAAATCAACTTATAATATTCAACTCTGCCCAACATTTTCAGTTATTGAAAGTGGCTTGCAATAAATATATGTCTGCTGCCAATTCTGATCCAGTGGCAGGAACTGCCTGGCATTGTGCTGAAAAGGTATATGAGAAAGAGCCTGAGACAGAGAAAATGCCATAATCAACTATTAATGTCTGGCATGGACGCAGGATTGTGCAGTGGTGGCATGTATGTTAAGTATTTGGCATTCCTGGACCATATTCAGAAATTGAAGTAAATATGAAAATTCAAAATTTACATAGAGAAAACTAAGACCAATTTGAAGCAGGAATGAGATACAGTACTGTAAGTTTGTCCTCAATTTTTAGATAACTTGAGGTTTGATTTAAGGTAGATTATGTCAAGGCAAGATTTATTTACATAAATATTATCTTACTATTAGACATTATCATCATCATTGTGATTATTTAAATGATCCTAGAACAAGAGATGATTATCAAGAGTACAGTTAAGTAATTTGTTACTTACCCTTTAAAGTCATGACTTCCAAATCTAGCATGTGAGTGGTGATTGTGTATAGTTACATTGTATATAATTTAGGCTTGGGTTCAACTATACAAACAGAATACTCAACTCAAGAAAATTTGAATGAGATAGAGACTTACTGAATTTTTCTCGCCCATAGACGTCCCAAGCCAGGCAATCCAAGGCTGATATGGAGCCTCCATAGTCATCAGTAACCTGGTTGTCTTCTATCTTTGTGTTCTACCTTCCTTAGCAAAAGCTCCCATTCTCAAAGCTGCCTCATTGGCCAAGATAGCTGCTGGATCTCCAACCATCATATCTGTATTCTAACTGGGAAGAAAAAGGAAGAAGAAAATTGCAAATGGAAGTGTTTTCCAACAGAGCCAGCCCCGTTTTAAGCAGATTTCCCAGAAGCCTAACTCAATGACTTTCAATTACATTGCAGTGACCATCTCAAGCAGTAAGGGAATATGGGAACTTCCATCTTTTCAGCAGAACAAATTCCCATCTGGGAGATGGGGAGAATGGATATTTTGGTAGGCAACTAATGATCTCTGACACAATTTGCTTATTAGAAACACGCTGTCCTAAGTACCTAGTGATTCCACTAGACCATACACTCCATAGGAGCAGGGACTTGGTCTATTTAGTTCACTATAGACCCCCATCCCACTCTACCCCACCCCCCAGTGCCCAGAACATTGCATGAAATATCGAGTTATTAATTGGCCCACAGTTAATCAATGAATAAGAGGCCGAGTCAGAATTAGAACTCTTACCTGCCCCCAAAGCCCAAACTCCCCCCAAAACGTCCATGTTTTGAGGCCTGTACAAAGAGGTAAATGGTAGAGCTTTGAGAGAAGCTAGAGAGGTAGATTAAAGGCTAAGTAGTGACAGTCCTGAATGCCTTTTCACTAGAGCTTTTAAACACAGATCGCACAGGGGACCAAGGACCATGTAAAGAGAGCAAGAAATGTAAGAGACTCAGTAGAATAGTGCACAAATCCAGGTTAATGCTGCTTGGCCTGAACGAAGACTTTGTCAGTAGAAACAGAGGACTGGGATGAATTTGAGAGACAGCTTTCAGGAGCCACAGGACAATGGCTGTAGGGAAAGGAGGTAGAAGGGATCATAGGCTTCTAATTTATGAGGCAGTGTGGATTAAAATTACATCCAGAGTAACTGATAGGAGATGCTGTCGATTTTTAAATGCAGATGCTAAGAGTATTTTTGCACAGAAAAACCACGAAACGATAGCCAAGGAGCCCAGTAAAATAAGCTAATTCAGCCAACGGACTGGAGGAATGAGATTGTTTTTAACCTCTTGTAGTTACCATGTGCATAATCCTCAGTTGGTTTGGAAAGGTTTTCATTTTTTGTTTTCTGTTGTTGTTGTTTTCTAACAGGTGAGCTACTAGAAAAGAAGAATTCGTGTGAACAAACCACGGAGGACAAGCTCACTGTTCTCTGAATTCCCACTAAAGGGGGAGCCAGCCAGCATTAGCAGCAGCTCTGTAACTATTACAGGCTGAGGGATCGCCCTAGAACGTGTCTTCTTTGAAAATGAAAGTCAATATAACACTTCTAAACGTGGCTTTTTAAAACGTGAGAGCTTAAAAGTTTCTACTTCTCCCTTCCGGTCATGATTATCAGGTTTTTTCCCTTGAGCGCAACAAAGCTGCAGAGAAGCACTGCACAGTCAGCCCTCCGTATCCATGGGTTCCACATCTGCGGATATGCAGGGCTGACCCTCCGACACCATTTTATATAAGGGACTTGAGCGTCGGCGAATGTTGTTATCCATGGGGGATCCTGGAACCAGTACCCCACAGACACCAAGAGACAACTGTACTTAGGATAGAACATGCTGGTTGTCTACTTAATCCAGAAGTCGTGCAAAGTTAAAGATGGGCAAAGCGTTTGGAAATATTATAGGTCTGAATTGTTCCACTTAAATCTGATGTCCTTGTGGCCAAAGCACTGCCTCCCAGCTCTCTGGAATTATCTGATCAATTTGACATTCACTAGATTTCATTTTGCTAACAATGTTTTGGCCAGCATTTTCTTTCCAATTATTGCTTTATAGACGTTTTGCAAGGTTCTTGAAATAGGAACAAATTTGATTTATGTAGTGGAACGTAACATCAGCAGTTGATTTAATTATGGGGCAGAAATGCATATGGAAATGTTTAAAAGAAATTTCCATTGTCAATTAGCTTTTGAAAACAAAGAAAATTCAAATTTTTAAATATAAAAAGATTCACAGTAAACTATGAAAGGTATTTTAGGACCAACAATATGTAATTTATTTCTTTGTTTACTGGTACTCCCTCCCACACCCCCTAATAAAACATTGTTATTAAAATGTGTCAAAAATATTTTATTGTCTATTTATTTCCCAAATTGAATTATAACCTGATGGATTAGTTTCATTAAAAAGTTACAAAGAATCGAGAAAAAATCCAATAATATTGGAAAAAAATATACAGACCCAAATAAAATAATAAAAACAAGTGAAAAAGGAAGCAAAATACCCAGAATACCATAATTTACTTTCCTCTTAATGTCCCTAATTTGAGTGATTCATAACCAATTTCTAGAATAGTGTTTGTATCTTCAATTAACTCATTACAAACTAACTTTTGGTTTCTTTTAGTTTCCTTAGAATTGATGGGTCAAATGTTCAAACATAGCAATTCCTGGTTTCTGTCTTTGCAGTTTAAGATACCAATACTTAGCATTGTTTTCTCTAAAGAAGTCTTAAAGACTTGATAATATAATTGTCTGTACTTTAATTAATTTCCTAATGAGGAAAGTATTATTCTAAATATATTGAGGTTTCTAGGTACTTTTTTGTTTAAGCAGTTCCAATTATGCCCATTCCCAACCCAACCTCCAGGGCATGAGAATTCTGGCAGAAATGGTTTTAGATGCCATTATTAATATTTGTCAGGTCATGCAATCCATGCATTTTAGAGCTTGAAGGAAACTGATAGGTTTGAAGATCTATTTGGTATTCTGAGATCTCTAGTCTGATTCTCTTTGATGTTTCTCTGGGTGTCACGGAATACTTAATCCTATTCATTGCCTGGACCATATCATCTCATAAACTTTCCAAATGAATAATCTCTGATCTACCCAATGTGACATTTTACTTCACCTTTTGAAAGGTGGATTTATGAGAGAGAAATATACACTGTTTTAGAAAATTTGGTCCAAATTTCCCACCACACTTTTAAGCACTTCAAGGTTATGGTCCAAATATGACCAAACGCCTTTTTTTCCCCATGAAACCCTAGAAGCATCCAAAACTCCATTGCTACACTAACGAACTACCTTTAGCATTCACCCAGGAAACCAAATCTAGATCATCATAATTTCCTAGGCTGACAGAAAATGACATTTAAGTCAATATTACTCTAAAGAATTTCTGCTCTCTTACTGCTTATGAACATATTTTCGAAACATAGGAGTAAGTTATAACCTACTGTGAGCTCCCGCTGAAGGCATAGATATAATTTTCAGCAAACCTCTCACTTAGACTGAAAGCCAGATTTGTCACAATAGTGCTATTCTAATTCAAACCACAAATCCTTCTCTAAAATAAAATCTTATATCTTATATCTGCAGGAGAAGAAAGTGCATTCTGTACAGGTTTAAAACCCATTGATTTCTGAGCATCTGCCAGCTCTATTCGCTTTCAAACACCTACCAAAACCCCAGCCCCTCCACAAATGCTCCCATATCTTGGCAGCAGTGAGGTCCAAGTCCATGGCCACCAATCCAGAGAGGCCAACACCACACTGCACATAATAACCCACTGACAGGAAAAACTATTGTTTTGCATGCTTAATTATTCATCTTATTTTTGTTCCGTGAGAACTTACCTTGATTCTGTAGCACACAGCATATAAAGATACTGTTTTTATTTTACTTTCTTTAGACTGGGTTCTGTGTTCCTCACTAATGACAGCAGTTCTAATTCTTAAAGGACCCAAAGCATTACTTTATGAGGTTTCTCACATAGAAGGGTATTTTAAAAGACTGAATTTTAATCTCCTCATTCTTTAACTTGGGAAAATCAAAGCAAATTGATAAATGTCCACAAATAAGCACCGCTGATTAGCTTACAACTCCTTGGCCCTCTACAATTCTCTAGATGAATCAAACATAACTGACAGGGAAGGATCAGGGCCCTTAATGAGAGTGGACTGTTGCTTATAGATTATTTCAATAATCTGTGATCAAGAAATAAAAGAATATGACATACATGCTCCACTGGAAGGATATATTTACTTATTTAATTTGGCAAGGAATCTTGATGACTGTGTCTCTAGTACCTGGCAAAGAGCTCAGGTTCTCGAGTCTAACTGTCTGAACTCAGATCTTAGCTTCACCCCTTCCATGAGGGATATTTATCTTCTCTGACCTGGGTTTTCTGATTGGTGAAATTGGTACCATCATAATAACATAACTTGTGGGGGCTATAGTTAGGATAAATGAGAGAAGATGACAGTTTGGGCAGGGGAGGTGGAAGAAGGGGGTGGGCAGAGACCTCTCTCCAGTTGCTTCCTTTGTTCACGCTCTGGCTCCTGAGTATCTCTCGTTCTTGTTGTTTTCCTGCTGCTCTCTTAATTCAGGGACTAACTGCAAACATCACGGAGCAGAGAACTGCTCGGTAGTATGAACATTTACTCCATGTACAGTCAGAGGGCCATGCGGTGAACTCATGTGATTTGGCAAATCCCATTTATTTCATCCGAAGCTTGAAATTTTTTTGTAAAATATAGGGTTCCACATGGGCCTGGGCTCTTACTGGATGAGGCCTTCCAAGCCTCCATGTTTGAGTCTCACCTAGTTTTATATTTCTAGCTCAAGGTTGTTGACAATCATATTCACGCCCACAACTTTACAGAAAACTTAGAATTCTGGCTACCATTACTAGGGGCCTACTATGTGCCAGACACTCCATTTGTCACTTACCTTACATTATACGACAGTATGGGCATCTGTTTCACTTCTTTTTAACTTAGTGGGGAACTGAGACTTGGGAACTTAAGTAACTTGCCCAAGACAACACAGCTAGGAATGGGCCAAGCTGAGTCTGAGTACAAAGAGCCTACTATCCTCACGATGCCAGAGAAGGCGGGTAGATTCCAATTCACGTGCCCAGTGTGATGCACTGGTGGTGGGTGAGTGCTGTGTTAAGAAGCATTTTGGGGCTGGGCCTAGGCTCAGGGAAGAGAGTGCTGTTGACAACGGATAACTGAGCCAGCACCTCTGGTGGGGAAAAAGACAGAGGGTGGTAGGTGCCATGCTGCCTCCTGAAT